GTGTGATGGCTCATGCCTGTAATCCCAACACTTTGGGAGGCCGAGGCGGGTGGATCACCTGAGCTCAGGAGTCTGAGATCAGCCTGGCCAACATGGTGAAACCCTGTTTCTGCTAAAAATACAAAAAAATTAGCTGGGTATGGTGGCGTATGCCTGTAGTCCCAGCTACTCGAGAGGCTGAAGCAGGAGAATCGCTTGAACCTGGGAAGCAGAGGTTGCAGTGAGCTGAAATCATGCCATTGTACTTCAGCCTGGGCGACAGAGCAAGACTCCATCTCAAAAATAAATAAATAAAAATAAATAAATAATAATAAAATATAGGCTGGGCACCGTGGCCCACGCTGTAATCCCAGCACTTAGGGAGGCCGAGGTGGGTGGATCACCTCAGGTCAGGAGTTTGTGACAAGCCTGGCCAACATGGTGAAACCTCGTCTCTACTAAAAATACAAAAATTAGCTGGGTGTGGTGGCGCACACTTGTAATCCCAGCTACTTGGGAGGTTGAGGCAGGAGAATTGCTTGAACCCAGGAGGCAGATGTTGCCGTGAGCTGAGACCGCACCATTGCACTCCAGCCTGGGCAACAAGGGTGAAACTCTGTCTCAAAAAGAAAAATAAAATATAAACAAGCCATGTATTTCCATTTCAGAATCTGCTATGGTAGTGGGTGGTGAATTGGTTGCTCGTCCCTCCTTTTCCCTGCCTACATCCCTGGACAGAGCTGAGAAGAGAACCTTGTGGCACACGGCTCAGATTCTGAGTCTGAACTAGAACTAGTCCTGTAAGCTTATTCCAGTTTGGTGTTGTGACCTATGGTTACCTGGCAGGGAATCATAAATTTGTATTTGGAGATCCCATTCCCCTGACAATGTGGCAGCATCCTTTGTGCCTGGTGTTTCTACTTGGAAACCTGGCTATGTTGTGGTTATGAGCCAGCCACAGAGCCTAGGATAAGGGCAGAGGTTACAGGCTGGGGAGAAGGGGCACTATGTTGTTGAGTGGCTGGAGGCTGGAGTCCAGTGGGGAGTAAAGGATGGGTGACTGAGGAGGAGCAACAGATTTGAAAGATTTGTGGAGGGCAAGATACAGGCACTTTGGTCATTTTGTGGGGTGCTGCACACTAGTGTCTTTAATTATTAACTTAGCACTGGGGTGGCCTGGAGCTGTGGGTACATTTTTGCCCAGCCCTGTGATAAGGTTTGTTGTTTATTAGGCAGAAAGGCAAGCATTTGTATAGGACAGGAATGCCCCTTCTCAGGAAGAGCAGAAAGGAACTTGGGCAGTGAGTAGCATGAGGGTGGTGGTGGAAGGGAGGGTGAGAGAGAGAAGATGGTGCAGCTGTTCTGAGAGGCCAGTCTTCCCTGCTTCTCAGGATGAAGTAGCCAGAATGCGATGAGGCCAGGACATGACAAAATAGGAGGACTAGGGACACCAAGGCCACACCACTGCCAGGATAACTCAGAGTGTTTCTGACTGCTTCGGTGGCCTGAAGTAGGCAAGACCTGTACTAGGCCTCATTCTCTTGACTGGTAAGGCAGGGTGATGTTGACCTTGCCCTTAGAGCCCTTGGGAGAAGGACTGTAAAATTAAGCCCTCCTTATAGTGTTCTAGTTGCTGAGCTGAGAAGGAGGGACAAATGAAGCGATTCGCTATGCTACCAGTGGGAAGATCTATGTTGTTTTTTCCAGCTTTCTTCTCTGCTACATCCTGGGGCTACTGGTCAACCTCACAGCATCTGTGGGCCTCCCTTTTTGAATTTCTTCAAGTAATTCAAATTCAAGTCGTAGACTGTAATTTTTTCGTTGGGGGAGGGATAATGGACTTCTTTGAGATTCTGATAAAAGCTATGATCCTTTTCTAAGAAAAGGTATGAACCTTTTTCTTAGGTATATCTGTATTAATATGGACATAACACTTTGGGAAAAAGAATTTTGAGCCTTATGGAGAACTTAGTTAAGAACCCTGGTAAAACGACTACCTGTACTACTGAGTAGAAGGACTGGGGGAATGTGTGTGGCTCTTATTTCTCTATTGTCCCATCAGGAAAAATGCCCTGTCCCTATTCTACAGGAGCCACTCTTAGCTGCAAGAATCTTTCCAAGCACAAAAGCAGGCAGCTGAGCTGCCAGGCAGTGGGCAGGAAATCTGGCCTTCATCCTAATCCTTGGCCACACGGCCTGACCTGCTGGCTCAGCATTGGTTAAGTCACAGCAGGACTCCTCAAGGTTAACAGTAATACCACAGAGTCAGAGTGCTATGTCCTGGAGCCCATGGGGAATGGGAGGTAGGAGGGAGAGACCGTGACTTTTCAGAGCCAAGAGCCGGAACAATCACTAATCCCGTATAGTTCCCAGTTGCCTCCCACTGCTGTGATTGGAAATCTGGATGTATTTTTTATGTAAGCAGATCTGCAATCACTTTGTTTTGTGTCTCCCATATAAGGTGCTGGGGGGTAGGGAGTATGGAGGCCTTTGCATGATAATGGTGAGGACATTCTGGGGTCTGAGGCTTCCAGTGCAGAGCAGGTCAGAGGGTCTGTCTTTGGCTGAAGGGTTTATCTTGGTGACTGGTACTGGAAAAATTGCTTGGGAGTCTAAGGTCCTACAGTGGTGAGGGTAAGTCACCAATCAGTATTATTTTTCTTTCAGGTCTCTTAACCTTCATCAACTGTGCCTATGTCAAGTGGGGAACCCTGGTACAAGATATTTTCACCTATGCTAAAGTATTGGCACTGATCGCGATCATCATTGCAGGCATTGTTAGACTTGGCCAGGGTAAGAAATAATATTAGCACCAACTAATCTTTGTTAAGCATTTTCTGTGAGCCACACTCCTCTAAGTGCTCTTCGTGCATTATCTCATTTCTTATAATAACCTTATTTGGTAGGCACTATTATTATCCACATTTTATAGATGAGGAAACAGGCTGCAGAATTAAGTATCTTGGGCTGGGCGGGGTGGCTCATGCCTATAATCCCAGCACTTTGGGAGGCCGTGGCAGATGGATCCATGAGGTCAGGAGTTCAAGACCAGCCTGGCTAAGATGGTGAAACCCCATCTTGACTAAAAATACAAAAATTAGCCAGGCGTAGTGGTAGGTGCCTGTAATCCCAGCTACTTGGGAGGTTGAGGCAGGAGAATCGCTTGAACCCAGGAGGCGGTGGTTGCAGTGAGCGAAGATCGCACCACTGCACTTCAGCCTGGGCGACAGAGCGAGACTCCGTCTCAACAAAAAAAAAAAAAAAAAAAAAGATTTAATTATCTTGGCCAAGTCGCTACTGGCAAGTAGAGGAGCTGAAATTTGTATCCAGGACAACTGACCCAAAGTCTGTCCTTTAACTTTCATTCACACTGCCTCCCAGAGGAGGCTGATCTTGGCAAAAGGGTTGACAGCCATGCCCTGGGAGCTGGCTTTGGCAGATTGCGATAGGAGGCAGGAATCAGGCAGCCTGCAGAGCAGAGCAGAACTGCATTGTTTCTATTCTCCAGCCTTTCTGCTCTATGGTGGTTTCTTATCCTAGAAAGCTACCCTGGACCCTTCCTGTCAAGATCCCCATCTATGTTATTAGGATGCAGGGCATTCTGGTCTATCTCTGTAGACGTCTCTCTACTGTTTCCTGTTCCCTTACTGGTACTCTTGCTGCCAAAGGTGTTGTAGGCCACTTACCTGCTATTATATTACCATATCCTCTCAGTCCTTTACTTGATCATCGTGAAGTGGGAGAATAAGCCACTAATCCCCTGCCTTCCAATGTTCTTGGGTTCCAGGAGCCTCCACTCATTTTGAGAATTCCTTTGAGGGTTCATCATATGCAGTGGGTGACATTGCCCTGGCACTGTACTCAGCTCTGTTCTCATACTCAGGCTGGGACACTCTCAACTATGTCACTGAAGAGATCAAGAATCCTGAGAGGTAGGTACTGCACCACCAATTTTCCATAGCAGTGATAGCCATCATTTAATGAGCTACTACTCTGTGACAGACAGCATATCACAACCATCTATGAGGTTAATTTTATCAGCCTCATTTTAATAGATGAGAGGCCTGAGGCTCAGAGAAGTAACTTGTCTATGATCATAGTAACAGGGCTAAAATATGAACTTTCTCATGTATGCTTTGTAAATTTTTTTAAATGCATTTTTACATTTGTTCATTAATTTCTGCATTAATTAAAGCAGGTTGTATTATATGCTTATGTATGTTTTTAAAACAGATTTTCCTTGATAGATATTTCATCCACCCTTATCCCCACATACATAGCTTTGGGATATAGACATCCAGAAACCTTCCTATGTTTCCCTCTGATCCCTTCCTTGTTTCCTAAATTCATATTGACATTGTGGTATAGTTTCAGTCATTCAATTAAGTCACCCCACCATTATTGCTCTGTAGTCTATATATAGAGTGAAAAGAGCACTGGATAGGAAGACAAGGACCTAGTGTTTGTCTTTCCACTGACTTGTGGGCTGACCTTGAGGGAGTTGCCCGGCCATCTCTTTGTCTGCTTCCTTATCTGTAATTGAGGGGGTTAAATTCTGTGATCTCCATGGCCTTTCTTGGCTCTAAAATTCTATGATTCTGGGAACTAAGATTTGCCAGGGAATGGAGTTTTTTAAGAGAGAGTCTTGCTCTATTTCCTAGGCTGGAGTATAATGGCACAATCTTGGCTCATTGCAACCTCTGCCTCCCAGGTTCAAGTGATTCTCCTGCCTCAGCCTCCCAAATAGCTGGAATTACAGGCGCCTGCTACCGCGCCTGGCTAATTTTTGTATTTTTAGTCAAGATGGGGTTTCACCATGTTGGCCACGCTGGTCTCGAACTCCTGACTTCAGGTGATCTGCCTGCCTTAGCCTCCCAAAGTGCTGGGATTACAGGCGTGAGCCACCGTGCCCAGCTCTCTGTAAATGTTTAAGTCAAAAGAATCACAATTCTTATACCAATAAACTCCTTTTGGCTTGAGAAACAGAAGAGCACTCTTGGTACACAACTAGTGGTAACGCTATGCGAGCAGAGATAACAGAAGCAGGATGAAGGCCTGGGTGGTGCTTCCACCTACCGGACAGAAGCTGCATGACTCTGTATTTGCAGAGTATTTGCCCCACTTTGTGCTTCTTTTGGGCAGCCTTACTGTTAAGGATGTTTATAAAGTTCATGGCTTTAATGGGCTACAGGGACCTTGAGAACTCTTTGCATCATTCTTTTGCCCACCAGTTAGGATGGCTCCTGAGGTTCTCAAACTGAGGAAGGGGTGGGCAGACATATCTTCCAGGTTGCTTGTCAGATACACACACTTCTCTTCCCACTGAAGGCCTATCTCTGAAGATGTTAAATTTCACAATTTGCCTCCATAATTTCCTTTTTTATTTCTCAGCCTTAAGACAAAATTGCCAATGTTGATAATCTTAGAGATGGAATCCTGACACCAAAAGATCTTTGGAGTATAAAACAAAATAACCTCCCATTTTCCTGTGCATTATTATGCTGGGACACTTTTTGTGAATCCTTTTTTTTTTTTTCAGACAGGGTCTGACTGCCTTGCCCAGGCTGGAGTGCAGTGGCCCAGTCATGGTTCACTGCAGCTTTGACCTCCTCGGGCTCAAGTGATCCTTCCACCTCAGCCTCCCAAGTAGCTGGGATTACAGGCACGCACCACCATGCTTGGCTAATTTTTTGTTTTGTTTTTTGAGACAGAGTCTCACTGTTACCCAGGCTGGAGTGCAATGACACAATTTTGGCTTACCACAACCTCCACCTCCTGAGTTCAAGTGATTCTCGTACCTCAGCCTCCCAAGTAGCTGGGACTACAGGTGCGTGCCACCATGCCCAGCTAATTATTTATATTTTTAGTAGAGACAGGGTTTTGCCATGTTGGCCAGGCTGGTCTTAAACTCCTGACCTCAGGTGATCCACTTGCCTCGGCCTCCTAAACTGCTGGGATTACAGGCGTGAGCCACCACGCCCGGCTGCTTGGCTAGTTTTTTGTACAGACAGGGTTTTGCCATGTTGCCCAGGCTGGTCTCCAACTCCTGGACTCAAGCCATCTGCCCACCTTAGCCTCCCAAAGTGTTGGTACTACGGGCATGAGCCACTGATCCCAGCTGCACAGTCCTATCTCCTAATATGATATTCCTTTCCCCTAATGTTCTTTAGTTCTTAAGTGTTTAGTTCAGAGCTTCAGCCACTATCCAGGGCACCGTCAAAGACAAATGCATTGAGGAAATGTAGCAAGAGTCTCCATCCCTGGAAAGACTGGTGTGGCAGGGAGAGTCTAAGGATTAAAGGAGAGATAGGGATATGACTGTGGGACTAATGTGTATTTTATTCTATTTGGCTGTAGGAACCTGCCCCTCTCCATTGGCATCTCCATGCCCATTGTCACCATCATCTATATCTTGACCAATGTGGCCTATTATACTGTGCTAGACATGAGAGACATCTTGGCCAGTGATGCTGTTGCTGTGGTAAAGGATTTTCACTACCAGGTTGAGGGTGACTTGTGGGGTACTGGGTATATTCTGGCTCTTGAAAGTCCTGGAAAGGGGGTAGATGGCCTTGAAAGGAGTTCATTTCGAATATGGGGCTTGCAAGAAGGTCCTGTTACCCCCACTGTGGAAGAAGAGTTGGAGTCCTAATAAGGGGAATCTGGGGCATGCCCATCCATGTCTTTCATCCCTTTTAGATCCTGCTAATGACTCTTCCATTCTTTTCCCTTAGACTTTTGCAGATCAGATATTTGGAATATTTAACTGGATAATTCCACTGTCAGTTGCATTATCCTGTTTTGGTGGTCTCAATGCCTCCATTGTGGCTGCTTCTAGGTAAGAGTGGCATCTTTTGAAGGGCTATGGCAGTGGACAGTAGAACTTACAGGACCTGGACTTTGATTACCTGTGTTTTCCAACTGATACCATAACCTCTTTCTTCTTGTTTCTAGCAGAAGCCTGCAGTTGTCCTTAATCTTAATACTGAGCTCCAGTCTATATTATCCACTTTTGAAGGAAGGGATGGCAGAGAGGGAGGGCCATGTAGCAGGTGAACCAGGCTGCATCGTGTCCACCAATTTTCTCAGCTTCTCCTATCTTACCTGACATAGGCTTTTCTTTGTGGGCTCAAGAGAAGGCCATCTCCCTGATGCCATCTGCATGATCCATGTTGAGCGGTTCACACCAGTGCCTTCTCTGCTGTTCAACGTAAGTCAGCTCAAGGATGAGACTGAAAATGATTGGGGGGGTGGGGGGAAACTTTAGTAACAGCAGAAGCGACTGTTCTAGCTTCCTGAAAGCTCTAAAAGAAATTCCAATAGAAAAACTATTGGTGGATCAGAATGTTCACCATGGGCAAGGCACTATGCCAACCACTACAGGCACTACAGGGAAAATCCAAATGCTCTAAGGAATGGTACACCTCTGCTCTAAGAGAAGCCATAAAGTACATGGAATACATTGTAATGATTGATTGCCATGACAGATAGTGAGTGATACGGTGTTTAAGAAATGATCACTTCCATGGGAGGAGAGGGTGAATGAAGAATTACGTCTAGAAGTATGTGTGTCTTAAAATCCACCAAAATGTTCTCAGAAAAAATAAAAAGGTGCATCTTGATGGCTAGGGTTGCAAATGGTAGAGATGGGCTTTAGGTAGGAGAAATAATATCAGAAAATCCTGTGGCAAAGCAGTATGGGTTTTAATACAGGTTGAATATCCAAAATCTGCAATGCTCTAAAAATCTGAAACTTTTTGAGTGTTGACTTGACAGTGGAGCATTTTGGATTTTCAGAATCAGGATATTCAACATGCAGGAGGAGATAAGAGCTGGATAATGTAGGTTGGAGCCATTATGGAAATGGTCCTATGCAAGACTTTTGAGGGATTGTTTCAAGCTTGCTTTATACAGGGTTAGCTTGAAGAATGGGTTGAAAAACCAGTTGAGACTACTGACTTGTAACAGAGGGGATAAGGTATTGAAACTAGAGTGTTAAAGGGATTAAAAACAGAAGAGGACCAGGAGACTCTGAGGATCGACGGGGGATGGATTTGGGAGGTATAAAGGGAGTGAAAAGCCTTTGGAGTAACAAAGGCCCTGAGAAGAGCTGACTTGGGCTCACGCTTACAGGGTATCATGGCATTGATCTACTTGTGCGTGGAAGACATCTTCCAGCTCATCAACTACTACAGCTTCAGCCACTGGTTCTTTGTGGGGCTTTCTATTATGGGTCAGCTTTATCTGCGCTGGAAGGAGCCTGATCGACCTCGTCCCCTCAAGGTATGGCAACTCCATCCTACCTCTGCTCCATCTGAAACAGCTAGAGTTGCTGCTACAGGGGACTATTACAAGACACTTTATTTAGAAACCTTTGCCTGGGACTTGGTGGTTAGTACTGTGTTGAAATTAAAGGTATGGAAAGAAGACTCAGTGCGCTAATCCTTATGGGAGGTGTTATTTTAGCTGTTAAGAGTCCTGAGTGGTCCACCCCAGTTGTGTTTCCTGTGCCCTCAGCTCAGCGTTTTCTTCCCGATTGTCTTCTGCCTCTGCACCATCTTCCTGGTGGCTGTTCCACTTTACAGTGATACCATCAACTCCCTCATCGGCATTGCCATTGCCCTCTCAGGCCTGCCCTTTTACTTCCTCATCATCAGAGTGCCAGAACATAAGCGACCTCTTTACCTCCGAAGGATCGTGGGTAAGCATTGTATCCTTAAATCAGCTCAGCCATTGTAGAGCTTGGTTTTTGCCTTTTTCTGTAAATCTTGCCTCCAAAGACATTTTTGCCATAGCCCCTTCTTATGAACCCTTCGGCTTAATGGAATCACTCCCCTCAGGCCCAGTTCCATTCAATGACACTTGAACTCAGCCCAGTTGACCTCTTCTCAATTCCAACTCAAAGTTTTCTTTGTAGGGTCTGCCACAAGGTACCTCCAGGTCCTGTGTATGTCAGTTGCTGCAGAAATGGATTTGGAAGATGGAGGAGAGATGCCCAAGCAACGGGATCCCAAGTCTAACTAAACACCATCTGGAATCCTGATGTGGAAAGCAGGGGTTTCTGGTCTCCTGGCTAGAGCTGAGGAAGTTGAAAAGGAAAGCTCACTTCTTTGGAGGCACCTGTCCAGAAGCCTGGCCTAGGCAGCTTCAACCTTTGAACTTACTTTTTGAAATGAAAAGTAATTTATTTGTTTTGCTACATACAGTTCCAGACTTTTAAAGCGGACAATAGAGGAGACTGGGGAGAGGAGCATGTCAGGTGTGGGCTTGGTGGTTTTAGAAGCACCTGAGTGCGCCTACCTACTCCTCTTTTCTTTTAAAAGGGCCCACAATCCTCCAATTATCTCCTTTAGAGAGACATCAAACTATCACAGGTGCTGGATGACAATAAAAAGTTATGTTCCTAAAGTCTGAGTGACTTCACTTTATATAGTATCTCTAGGACAGCTCCCATTAGCCTAGAAACACAAAGACTAAAAACAATCTTATGCTTGAAAGTAGATCCATCTTTTCTCTCTCAAGCTAGCTGCTGAAGGCTGATAAACCAGGCTCTACACAAAGGCAGACAACAGAACACTTCAACTGCTCTAGTGAAATGTTGGGTTGTTACATAAAAATGACATGAACTTCCTTTTTGAGACAGGATCTTGCTCTGTGGCCAAGGCTGGAGTACAGCAGCATGATCTTGGCTCACTGCAGCCTCAGCCTCCTGGGCTTAAGCTATCCTCCCACCTCAGCCTCCCAGGTAGCTGGGACTATGGGCAAGCACCACCATGCTCAGCTAACTTTTTAGCAGAGACAAGGTCTCGCCATGTTGCCCAGGCTGGTCTCGAATTCCTGGACTCAAGTGATTCACCCACCTCAGCCTCCCAAAGTGCTGAGATTATAGGTGTGAGCCACTTTGCCCAGCCTGGAACTTTCATTCTTAATTATCACTAAGAATTTGCACACATCTACTTCTTGAAATTTTTAAAGTAATCTTGGAATCAAGAAATGCAGTTATTATATTTAGATACAATCTCAACATTCAACTTATCAGCCACACCTCTAGACTGCAATCCAAATGTGGATAGAACAACACATGTATGGGTTGGAAGTTTAAATTTTTTTTTTTTTTTTGAAACAGAGTCTTACTCTGTTGCCCAGGATGGAGTGCAATGGCTTGATCTTGGTTCACTGCAACCTCTGCCTCCGAGGTTCAAGTGATTCTCCTGCCTCAACTGCCCAAGTAGCTGGAACTACAGACGTGTACCACCACGACTGGCTAATTTTTGTATTTTTAGTAGAGACAGGGTTTCACTATGTTGGCCAGGCTGGTCTCAAACTCCTGACCTCAGGCCATCTGCCCGTCTCAGCCTCTCAAAGTGCTGGGATTACAGGCGTGAGCCACTGTGCCTGGGTGGAAGTTTAAACCCTTAATGCCAGGTTAAAACATTATATTTTCCAATGCCATGGGCCAGCAAAAGCAATCATGACCCACTCTATTCTTCGGTTTTCTTTTTTTTAGACAGAGTCTCCCTCTGTTGCCCAGGCTGGAGTGCAGTGGCGCAATCTTGGCTCACTGCAACCTCCACCTCCCAGGTTCAAGCAATTCTCCTGCCTCAGCCTCCCGAGTAGCTGGGACAATAGGTGTGCGCCACCACGTGTGGCTATTTTTGTATTTTTAGTAGAGATGAGGTTTCCCCACGTTGGCCAGGCCGGTCTCAAACTCCTGACCTCAGGTGGTCCGCCCGCCTCGGCCTCCCAAAGTCCTGGGTATTCTTCAGTTTTCTGAAGCACACACTCATTTCCCTGTTCAATAAGTATCAGGAAGCAGCATGTAGTACAGAGGTTTACTAACTCTGTGAATGGGAAGGTCACTTGGCTACCCAGTGCTCTCTTATAAACATGAGTATAAGAGTGTTTCGTGAAATTGTTTTTAAAATGAACATCTCTGTGTGCCACAGTTCCTAGGACTGGGGCAAGGACACAGTGTCAAGTCTTGTTTTGAGGATGAGTCTTTGAAGAGACAGAGTTCCTGCCAGAATGCGCATGGAACGTAAGTCAGCCAAGCGTGTCGCGCCAGGGATACTTTGACTTTGGTTTGCTGCTGCTGCTGCTAGGGATATTGGGAGGGTTATTATTTCCAGGTTGTAGGAGAGGGTTGTGGGTAAAGGTCTGTCGTAAGGGACCTGAGGGGAGAAGAGAAAACAAATCTCAACGAAGAACAGAAAGAAGAAACAAAAGACAGAATTTTGGCCTGAAAGGACTATTTACCCCTGGCTGCTAGCTCCAAGTGATTCTGCATGCGTTGTTCACGCTCTCGCAGCTGACGCGCCATTTCAGCATTTTTCCAGCCTGTGTAAAGAGGAGCAAGAGAGTCACTTGCATTCCTATTTGTAGACCCCTCTCCCTAGTCCTGTTTCACAGAGGACGAGCCCTTACCTTTTTTGAAGCTCTCTAGGAAGCCTTCCCGTGGAGGTAATTTGTCAGGGTCATGTACAACACGCTGGGGGATTTTAAGTACAGTGCGTACTGCTGGAATCCGGAGACAGGATACTTGGCCCAGGGAAAACAAATTGGAGGAGAGCCAGTACATAAACACTGCCTGGGTGAGAACACAGAGAGGGGACTCAGAAGCTGCATCCCTGGTCAGCTTGCTAGGTGGCTAGGCTAGGCAGAAGGCCTTGGAGCCAGCCCATAAGGCATTACATACCGTGGGGAAATGCATGGTTACGGGCAAGGCTATCAGGGGCATCACTCTGATCACATTTCTCATCCACTGAAGGTCAGAACTTTGCACACCTGTCTCAGCACCTAGCTGCCAAAAGAAGCGGGGTAGAAAAGTCGGGAAAGCTGTCAGTTTCAGTGAACCTGTCTCTAATCTCTTACCCATCAACTCTTTCTCCAGCAAGTGAAGGATGACCATTCTGTACAATTACTTTACCCTCCAATCCCAGTTCACTTTGCAGGCCTGGCACTTGGCCAATCTGGGCTTACCTCAAGGACAGCCCACATTGTAGCAGTGACTACCAGTGGTAACACGTAGGTGGGATCGGATACCGTGAGATCCTGGAACCACCAGAGGCCACCTGTCTGCAGGCTGGCCACAGGAAGGTTGGCCATCTCTCTCAAAGCAATGAAGAAGGAGAGGAAGATTGGGGCCTATTACACAAGATAAACAGTGTCAGCATGCTTTACCAGAGGAAACATTTTCATCACCCCACTACTGAAAGCCATGTATAATCCACCACCACCTGTTTTTTTGGGGGGCCTGGGGCACATCAAACACAGAGAGGAAATTTGATGGGTATAGGATGAAATAAGGAAGGAAATGTTTTTGCTCACCTGAGTCAGAGGAAGAATGAGAGGTTTAAAGAGTTTAATACCATGTTTTTTCTGGTAAAATGCCATCTCCGAGGAAGCCTTGTAAACTGTGAGGTGAGAGGAAATTAATGGTTGGGGTAACAGTTACATCAGTGGAGGTGAACATCCTCGTCATTTACCTGGCCTGTGAAATTTCTAACCAACCCTGGCCAGTCCTTGGGAGCATTAGGCCCAAGAAACAGATAAATCTTTAGAACTTTCCCGACTGTGGCAACTTCTGATTCACATTGTTCCTTTCCCCCAGCAGAATGTAAGGAAAAGTGCAAATGTGGTCCTCTCCCATGGTCATTCTGCAGCTGACTCACACTCAACATCGTCTCCCGCCAACTTGGCCTCTCTGACTCGACTGGAAAACTTCTGGATCTCTGGCAAGTGATTGTGGATCTTGGCTGCCTCTCGCTGGCCCATCACGATGAGAGGAAAAATGAGGCAGCGGGCAAAGACTGTACCTGGAAAATACAAACTAGGATTGGAGTGAAATTAAAGCAGTTCTGCAGCTAGAAGGTTGAAGGTTTTTAGGTCCTTATTGAAAGGGTCTTATTCTTGCCTTGTCCATTCTGTGACTTATGCCTAAGAGGCCCAGAATTAGGGTCAGGGGTATGAATTAGTTGCTTTAAGGCTCAGTTCTCTGATTTGGCATCACAAAAGTATGGCATTAACTTCTCTAAGCAGATGATTAAGAATCCTGTTTGTTTCCTCAAACAAAAAGGTGACAGGAGCACTTTTCTAGATCAATAGCTTCCAAACTTTTCTGTGATCAAAAGAGCCTCCCTGCTCCATCAAACTGTACACGTAGCCCCAATGTACAAAAAAAAAAAAAAAAAAATGCTGCCCTGAGCAAACGAAAAGCCTGGCCACAGGATTGTTTATGTGGCAGCCTTCACCTTGCTCAGAGGTCCCTTTACAAAACTCTGGGGCTTCCAGGAAGGAAGTGTGAAAGCCATTGTTCTAGAAATCCCTGGAGTAGGACATAATCTGATGGCCTACTGCTTTAGCTCCTTCATATTTCTTTTCTCACACTTCATTTTTCCTGGTCATTCATTTGTTTTGATTTTTAGATCCCACAAATAAGTGAGAACATGGTGATGTCAAATACGAGACTAGGTTATAGGTTTAGGCTTTATCAACATTATGATGAATGATGTGGAGTAGAAAGAGAAGGGAGCTAAGGATAGAACCCAGACTACTGGCACTGAACGGGTAGGTAGGATAAAATTTGGAGATGCAAAAGTATGGTCAGAAAGACAGGAAGAAAAATCAGGAAACGTTATCATAAAAGCCAAAGGATTGACTTTATTTTTTTTTTTAACAGAGTCTCGTTCTATTGCTCTGTCGATCAGGCTGGAGTGCAGTGGCGCAATCTTGGCTCACTTCAACCTCTGCTTCCCAGGTTCAAGCGATTCTCCTGCCTCAGCCTCCTGAATAGCTGGGACTACAGGCGCCTGCCACCACACCTCGCTAATTTTTGTATTTCTAGTAGAGATGGGGTTTCACAATATTGGCCAGGCTGGTCTCAAACTCCTGACCTTGTAATCTTCCTGCCTTGGCCTCCCAAAGTGCTGGGATTACAGGCATGAGCCACCACGCCTGGGAAAGGATTGATTTTAAGGTCTAAAGTGTCTAATGCAGAAAGACCAAGTATAATAAAAGTGGATTTAGCAATTAGGTTACTGGCAGTTCAAATGAGGTGATATGAGTAAAAGCCAGATGGCTGAGAGAGTAAATGGAAAGAAGTAGGCTCATTGGATGCAGAGCAATCTTTTAAGTAATAGCTATCAAAAGAACGAAACCCAGTCATTTGTGACAACGTGGATGGAACTGGAGATCACTATGCTAAGTGAAATAAGGCAGGCACAGAAAGACGAACATCACCATGTTCTCACTTACTTGTGGGATCTAAAAATCAAAACAAATGAAATCATGGGCAGAGAGTAGAAGGAAGGTTACCAGAGGCTGGGAAGGGTAGTCAGGGTTGGGAATAATTAATGGGTAAAAAATTAGTTAGAAAGAATAAGATCTACTATTTGATAGCACAACAGGGTGACTATAATCAGTAATAATTGTATATTTTAAAATAAAGAATGTAAAAATTAGCCAGGTGTGGTGGTACACCTGTAGTCCCAGCTACTTGGGAGGCTGAAACATGAGAATCACTTGAACCTGGGAGGTGGAGGTTGCAGTGAGCTGAGATTGGGCCACTGCACTCCAGCCTGGGTGACAGAGCAAAACTCTGTTTAAAAAAATAAAATAAAATAAAATATAAAGTGTAATTGGATTCTTTGTAACTTAAAGGATAAGTGCTTGAGGGGATGGATATCTCATTCTCCATGTGATTATTACACCTTGCAGGCCTGTATCAAAACATCTCATGTAGCCCATAAATATATACACCTACTAGGTATCCACAAACAACAACAAAACAAATAAATAACAGCCATGAAAGGAAGAAGAAAGATAGGGTAGTAGGTGAAGGGGAACTAAGAATGAAGGGAAGAAATTTTCCCCCAAGTAACACATGGGTATGCTTGAGCATGCTTACATGTGCAGGGCAGGGCAATAAGGAGGGAAACGTTGAAGACACAGGGGAGAGAAGAGATCGTTGATGGGGCAAAGTGGCAGAGAGACACATAATTCAAAGCAGAGCTTCAGCCTTTACAAAAGCAATGCGAGTGGCTTCCCAATTTGGAGGTTTAAGTGCCTGACTTGAACCTCTGTTCTTCTAAACCAGGACAGCTTCATGACTGTTAGTAAGGTCCCCTGACTCTAACCCCATGTTTGTATTCGAATATCTATACTTCTTGAATCCCAGATGATCTGGTGGTTTTATAATGCTCTTTAAGAAATATAGGTAGACTGCATCTAGGTATCATGTGCCTCTATCACTCATTTGAAATCATCTGCTCTTCTGATCCCAGAGCTTCTGCAACTACTTCCTGAATCCATTCAAATAATTGCCATCTATGAGGTTCTATCCCTAACCCATGTATAGGGTATATTCCCCTTACATGCAGCAATGGCCCCCCACCAAGGTAGGCCCAGGTCAACATGCATAAATTCCAGTAAATTCTGGATCAGTCCCACTGGGGTGTGTGACCCCAGCCCCAGTTCAGCGAAGCTCTGCTCTGCAGCAGCTTGGACTACATCTGCAGTCTCTCCAGAAGCCACCTCAGGTACCGCTGCGGGTGAGGGAGTTGCAGGAACAACAGGAGGGGCCTGAACCTGTGTGAAAGGAAGCCTTGTATATTTATTCAGTAGTGAACACATAGAAAGTGAGACCTTCTTAAAATAACCAGTACTGGGTTCTGTTCTCTCTACTTCTTATTCTTCCAGGTTACCCTAGTGTACATAGAATTCAAGCTTAAAAAGGACATCTCATTTTTATCAATAGGTAGGAAGAGAAGTTACTTTGAGTAAGATTCCATGACTTCCCTTCATGCTGGGAAGTTATTTCTTTTATCACTGTTTCCCAAACTTCAGCCATTTGAACATTGCTATTATGATTTTTACCATATATTAACATGAAACAATTACTTTTCTTTAAAACAGCTCAGAAAACCAAATATAACATCTCTCCTGTTGTACGTCCAATCATTTCCCCACTGAATTGAAAATTCATCCCAAGCAGAGATGCTACCATTTTGGAGAGCTGTGTGGAGCGTGGACAAGAACTCTGCTTCATATTCCCCCTGCTCCCAAACAAAACAGAATATGAAACCAACCGGCAAACACCACTCCTAATATTGCAGGAACGAAAGGCCTCTTACCTGGACTTCTGCAAACGAGATGGCAGAGGTACTGAGGCTGCGGGGGCCGGAAGCCGCAAGGAAGAGGTAGTGTGGGCGACAGCAGCACCGGGCTGCTGGGAATAGGAGCCGTGCGGTCAGCGGTTTCCCAAGCCATTGCGAGGGCCCTGCGACGCTGTGGACCTAAGCGTGTAAAAGGATGATGGAGCCCCTTTACCGGGAGCAGAAGTCCTCGCGTGGGGGCAAAGGGGATTCATTATGCTAACTTCCCAAGAAGCAAGCAGCCCGGCCACTACACGTGCAGACATTGCTATTACCGCGCGCAGACCGCTAGCCCGAAGGCATGCAGCTGGTGATGCCTGCAGAGCAAAGCTTGAATCCGGGTTCGCCGCATCTCAGTTATCGTAGACCCGCATCGGGGGGCCCTGAGAACTAGGCCGAGGTGCTCTCGCCAGGGGCGAAGCCAATTCCAGAAGCTGACACCGGGCTGCTGGGCCCACATGTTGGGGACTAACCCTAGCGCGTCCTCACAAGACCCGAGGTCATGACATTCAGGTCCCGGTGAGCGGGTCAGCGTCTGCTCATATCCCTAACACGAGCTGTCCTGGGGCTTGGTTCACTGGGTCAGGGCAGCATCCCGGTGCTCAGCCCCGGGGCATCCTTACCCGACGCCCGGACTGTAGCAGGCGCAGAACCTCCCGGCGTCCGCACATCAGTCCCATCGCCATTTTGTCCGGAAGAGGACTTACTTTTGCGCCTGCGCACTAAGAACCACAATCCCGCGAGAGGAAGCACTTTTGGAAGCGGGCATGAAGCCAGAGTTGTTGCCGTAGATCAGGTGGTAAAAGAGAACGGAGCTTGGCGGCCATATTTGAAGTGGGTAAAAATCTGAAAAGCCGTGTTACCATGAGCACGCGGAGAGCTTTTTCTGGAGATTGAAAGGAAGTGGAAGAGCCAGGTTAGCTATCATCGTAAGCTATCATCGTTTGTGATGGCGTAAACCTGGGTAATTTTCCTCTAATGTCGCGATTGTCCTCTGATTCGTCAGTTTAAAAATAGCCTCAGAAAAGTCTTGGCTGTACTTGCAGAGGATTTTTCCCACGCAATGATGTTCGATTCTTTTGATTCTTATTGCTAGGTAAATTGTAATCGCAGGTCCAATGAAATTTGAGGGTAGTCTAGAGTCTGACAGAAATGAAGAGAAGGCAGCCGCTGGGAAATATTTTCCTCCCAGATAAAAAGACAAAGCTTCCAGAGACTTCACCTTTCCATTTTTTCTTCTGTAAGTGGGGTGGTGTGAGGACTGACCATGAGGGGACAAGTTTCGAGATGAAAAGCTCACGTGCAGGCCGGGCGCGGTGGCTCAGGCCTGTAATCCCAGCACTTTGGGAGGCCGAGGCGGGTGGATCACGAGGTTAAGAGATCGAGACTATCCTGGCCAACATGGTGAAACCCCATCTCTACTAAAAATACAAAAATTAGCCGAGCATTGTGGTGGGCGCCTGTAATCCCAGCTACTTGGGAGGCTGAGGCAGGAGAATCACTTGAACCCGGGAGGCAGAGGTTGCAGTGAGCCGGGATTGTGCCACTGCACTCCAGCCTGGCGATAGAGTGAGACTCCATCTCAAAAAAAAAAAAAAAGAAAAACTCATGTGCTGAAGATGGTTGAGGGCAAAGATAGAAAACACCCAAGTACTTGATATCATTGAGCTGATGTACCATGCTTGGAACCATCTATCTCCAGACTTCGTTGTGTAAGGTAATTAAAGGTCTTGGCAGGGTGCAGTGGCTCACGCCTGTAATCTCATCACTTTGGGAGGCCAAGGCTGGTGGATTACTAGGTCAAGAGATGGAGACCAGCCTGGCCAACATGGTGAAATCCCGTCTCTACTGAAAATACAAAAAACAAAAAAACTAGCCGGGCGTGGTGGTGCGTACCTGTAGTCCCAGCTACTAGGGAGGCTGAGGCAGGAGAATTGCTTGAATCCGGGAGGTGGAGGTTGCAGTGAGCTGAGGTGGAGCCACTGCACTCCAGCCTGGGCGACAGAGTGAGACTCCATCTCAAAAAAAAAAAAAAGGAAAAAAAAAGATAATTAAAGGTCTTTACTGTTTAGACTCTAAATCTGTTGCTTGGGTGTTCTGTTTCTTGAAGTTAAAAGCATTCATCTCCAGGGAAAAAACTTACTGCTCAGAAAAGTGGAGTTGATTATATTTGAACCCTTATAAAGTCTCTCAATATGCAGATTACTTTCTAAACAACAAACCATAGTTTCAGAAAGATACAATAACCCGAAATTATTTCAGTGACTGCTAATTTGGGACGATTATGAATGTACCTGACAGATATGGCAAAAATAGGAGGCAAAGAAATATAATACTGATTTAGTAATAATTAGTGGTATGAGCTAACACTTGCATATGTTGGATGCTATTGTAAACATCAATAGATTTTTGATATGGAAACACTGATTTTTTTTTAGAGATTACTTTTCAAACTCAATACAATTAGAAGTAATTGCAAATATACAGCTACAGAACACTTGGCAGGGTGACTATCTTATGGTACACTGCTACTTTGGTGACCCCAAATGAACCAGGCTTCACAATATTTGCACCTTTAGGAGTTCTATTCTCTTGAGTCTGGTTGGCCCTGTAACTTGCTTTAATCAATAGTAGAATGCATTGGAAGCGATGTTATGCCAGTTTGGGACTATGCCTTAAGAAGGCCTGATAGCTTCTGCTTTTGCATTCAGGGGAAAGCCAGCTGCTGTGTTAGAATTTTGACTTCTCAGACTTACTGCCTGTGAAAAGCCCAACCAACCACTTGAAGAAGAACGGAGGTTTGGGCTAACAGCCTCAGTTGAACCCTCAGCCAGCAGTCAACACCAGCTTTTGCCAGCCACGTGAAGAAGGCCATTTAAAACGTGGATTCTCCAGCCCATTGGAGCCACCTCAGGTGACTCCGTGTGGAGCAAAGAAAGGCTATTTGAGCCCACATTGCAAAATTACAAGCAAATAAATAAAATTATTGTGGTTTTACGCCAGTAAGTTTTGGAGTACTTTGTTGTTCAATAATAGATAGCTGAAATGTACAGGCAAACTTGGAAGATACTATGGGTTGGGTTCCAGACCACTACAATAAAGCCAATATCATAACAAAGTGAGTCACAGGGAATTTTTTGTTTTGCAGTGCATATAAAAGTTATGTTGGGCTGGGCATGGTGGCTCAGGCCTGTAATCTCAGCACTTTGGGAGGCTGAGGCAGGTGGATCGCTTGAGCTCAGGAGTTTGAGACCAACCTGGGTAACATGGTAAGACCCCATGTCTTAAAAAAAAAAAATACTAGGCCAGGTGCAGTGGCTCATGCCTGTAATCCCACCACTTTGGGAGGCTGAGGCGGGTGGATCACCTGAGGTTGGGAGTTTGAGACCAGCCTGACCAACATGGAGAAACCCCGTCTCTACTAAAAATACAAAA